CTGTAAGGCTTCATCCTTGCTATGTATTAAGTATACATAACAATACTTACTGCAATCATCTATAAATGTTATATAATAATTTTTCCCACCACGAGTTGGTGTAGATTTAAAGTCACAAAGGTCACTATGAATTAATCCAAGTAATTCATTTGATCTTCCTTGAACAGATTTAAAGGTTTGCCTAGAAAACTTGGATTCTGTACAAGTTTCACACTTATTATCAAAGTCAATATCAATTTTAGGCAATAAACCTAGATGCATCATTCTATGCATAGATCGATAATTTACATGACCTAATCTAGCATGCCAAATATTAGAAGACTCAGCAAAGTAAACGGAAACCTTATTTATATTATTATTAAAAGCATCATTGCCAGTTACATTGAGTTTGAACAAACCATCAGCAAGGTAACCCTTTCCTACAAACAGCCCTCCTTTGGTTAGGATGAACTTGTCAGATTCAAATACAAGTTTGAAACCCTTCTTACTAAGAATAGGCCCAGACACTAAGTTCTTCCTAATTTCAGGAACATGCAGCACATCCAAAAGGGTTAAAACCTTCCCAGAAGTGAACTTCAGCAGCACACTGCCTTTGCCTTCAACTGCAGATGCAGAGGCATTTCCCATGTACAGTTTCTCACCACCAGAATTCTGTTCGTAATCAGTGAACAGATTTCTGTCACCACAAATGTGCCTAATAGCACCTGTATCAACCCACTAGTCCTTAGTATCAGAAACTAGATTGGTTTCAGACACTACAACCACAAAATGTTCATTGACTTCAGTCACGTTGGCTTGAGGATTGGTTGGATTTTGGTCTCTTCGGTGGCGGCAATCTTGTGCTTTATGCCCTGGTTTTCCACATACCCAGCAAGCACCTTTGATTTTCTTGAAATCCTTGCCTTTTGGTGCATGAGTTTTGCCATAGTTCTTTGCAACTTTCTTGCCCTTGTTATTCTGGAATTTTGGCTTTGATGTCTCAACGACATTGGCTTTGGCTTCCATGACAGGCACTTCACCCTTGTCACCTTTCCTGTGATCCTCCTCAACTCGAAGCCTCAAAATCAGATCCTCCATAGACATCTCTCTGCGCTTGTGCTTTAAGTAAATTTTGAAGTCTTTCCATGATGAAGGCAGTTTCTCTATGATTGCTCCAACCTGGAAGTGTTCATTAATAGAGCACCCCTCTGCAAGCAAATCATGGATCAGAATTTGAAGTTCTTCAACCTGTTTAATAACAGTCTTCGAATCAACCATGGCATACTTGAGAAATTTGCCAATCACGAACTTTTTGGCACCAGCATCTTCTGTTTTGTATTTTTTCTCAAGTAATTCCCAAACTTCCTTTGCAGAATTGTATGACGAATAAATGTCATACAGAGTATCATCAAGCCTGTTAAGGATGTAGTTTCTGCACAGGAAATCAGATTGTTTCCAAGCCTCAATGGTCATCATTGTTTCCTTAGACATTGGATTTTCTCCTGATTTGGGAGCCTCCTCTCTGACAACATGTGCCAGATTCATGGTTGTGAGATAAAACAGCATCTTCTGTTGCCATCTCTTGAAGTCAATTCCCTTGAACTTCTCAGGCTTCTCGTCATGAGGATTCTTAGTCACCCCGTTCACAGTCACTGATGATTGTGAATTCATGTTTACTGTCTTTAGATTGTTAGAAAAAACAATTATCAATGACTGATTAAAACAATTATATAAACAGAATTTATAACAATCTGTAACACAGAATACAGTATATGAACAATAAATAAAACTGACTTGAATTTGAGATAGAGGCTTGCAGATTTGATGCAATGTCCTAAAGACAGTAATTTCACCCCTTCTCGGTGCTTGAAGTTCTACAGGTGACTGCCTCCCAGGATTCAACTATCTGTATTCTAAGCCCTAGCACTCGGACTTAGAATCTGGCGAACGTTGTTTGTTTTCCTCTCAGACAATATGAAATGCTTGTAGAATGCTTTTTCTGTGTTGAACGTATGAGGCCTTATTTGATTTAAATAAACTTCTGAAACCTTATCAGAAGAGTCACAACTGTTAGAAAACAGTTAATAAAACTAATCCGAATTAATAAAAAATTATTAATTCGAAACCAAAAAATAATTTTAAATCTGAAAGTGCCCCAAGGCCCAAGGCCCATCTTTTTGACTATTAAATATTATATATTTTTATATAATATTCAAAGCCCAAATCGATTTTGAAGCCCAAATTGCTTCCACTTGGCCTACTTCCATTTACTAAGTGTGGCACTTCCACACTTATAAGGACCTCACTCTTTCTACTTTCTATCAATGTGGGACAAAGGTTCTTGAATTTAATTCAAACTTCCAACAATTAATTCATAATGAGAAAACTCAGTTTTACAATCTACTTTCCAATTGAACTAACTTAGGCATCGGAGGGCCTTTGGCCAACATCCTTCAGGTATGGTATTTTACTCTTATTTGTTTTGCAGGAATTGAGGAAGAGAGAGAAAGAAACTAGGAAGGGTGAAGAATCTACACGCGAATATTCTCCTGTGAGAAATTTGCACAAACAGTTGTCATGTTAAAATAAAAAGCCTCACAGTTAAAAACTGAATTCTATTGTTAAAATTATTATCTTTCCTTGTTCAAACACATACTTTGAATGAGGATGAACATTACCCTAATTTTGTTTTATAAACGTCCAAACACTATATTTTATGAACTTGGATATTCCAATTTATGGTCTCTTATACTACACAAGAATCAAGTGCCAACTGCTGCCACAATATGAACTACCGAACACCTACTATAAGGACAAATGTAAAATAAATTGCAGGTCATCAATAGATAAAGAGATGACTTCAAAACTATTCATGTTGATGTGTCAAACAAGTGACAAGAAACTTATCTACAATTTTAGCCTCATATACTATCTCAAGTCGGGTGAGGCACCAAAATTTTCAACTCACTCAAAATCCGTAAACAATGACACAGAAAACAGAAAATTTTTCTTCAAGGTGTTCTTGTGTAGACCTGCAAGACGGAGTGACTTGTGACAACCGAGTCACGATGTATCGTGCCTATTTTCTCATTTTTGTCGAAATTCTAGTCATGCTATTAAGTTGTATCAAATTTGCCACCCAACTTGAGTGAAAATGTTTAAATATATATATATAATAAAATAAAAACTCCAATTTGATATTATCCCGAAAGAAATAAAAAATGACAGTAAAATATCCCACACATAGTCATCCAAAAAATGTTTGACCAAACAAAAGACCGGCCAATAAAAAATCAAATAATTTTCTTCCAAAACCATCCTGCGAAAGACCGAATAGTCTCTCCTCTTTATCCACGCCACGATATATGGATAGTGTTCTACTCAAACATCTCCTACTTGTTCTTTGTCTTTGTCTTCTCTCTCTCTCTCTCTCTCTCTCTCTTTCTCTCTCTTCTGCTCTACGAAACTCGAGGGTCCGAAAGAGAAGAAGTAGAAGCAACAAAGAATTTTCGAAGCCAAACCACAAATCAACAACAAACCCAACTCCCAATTCTCACGCACAGCCAAACCCAACACACCTTTTTCCTTGTCTCGGATCATGTGATTCGGATCCTCTGATCCGACCAACCCAACTCGCCCGATCCGATTCATTTTCGTGTTATCAATGACTCGGAGGTGCTCGCATTGCAGCCACAATGGCCACAACTCTCGGACGTGCCCCAACCGAGGGGTCAAGCTCTTCGGCGTTCGCTTGACCGATGGCTCCATCAGGAAGAGCGCTAGTATGGGCAATCTCTCCCACTATGCCGGGTCGAGTTCGGGTCTCCACCCGAATAATCCGGGTTCTCCCGGCGACACCACCAACGATCACACCGGCGCTGCCGACGGGTATGCCTCTGAGGACTTCGTGCCCGGATCGTCTTCGAGCCGTGAACGGAAAAAAGGTTCAGCCTTTTCTTTTTCCCCTTTCCTAATCTTAAATCTTTCAATTGTTTTGCTTTTTTTTTTTCATTGTCTAATTTTGAAGTTTTTCATTTTGGGGTATGTGCGTTTATGTGTTGATTCTTACTTGATATGTCCGATTTATAATTATTTGAAGTTGAGTGATTAGCTAAATTGAACTTTTTTTGGGTGCTATTTGGAGTGTTTGCATAATTAGCATATCTGAATTTTGATTTTCAATTGATGGTATTTTAGTAGTTAATAACGAAATGGAAAAATGGATCAGATTCCAAATGAAGTGTAAACTGTAAAGGAAGAAAATGAACAAACATCTGCAACAAGAACACCAAAGCAACAACATGCCTTCTGCTAATTAGGCTGCAGAGGTTTAATCGAAAACGATGCTTTGCATAAATAGAAGGTTTAAAAGAGTAAATTTGTCCCAACTACAAGTGTGCTACCATAAAAGATAGGCCCAGGAGTTTAGTGGTTAAATTTAAGGTGATGAAGCTTAAGGGATGTAAGCATTGGACCTCATTGTATTAGGTATTTTAGATTTCATTTAGTAAGGATGCCTGGTTTAGACCATCCCATAGGTAACCCTCATCGGTACGAGAGGTCACTTGAAATGCAAATATAACCGTTGTCAGTTTTCAGATGTACTGCAATAACTTTTCCAGGGATTTCGGGATCTTATGGTTGTTTATTTACTATTTATTTTTTATTTGGCGTATATAATCTATTTATCACACTGGATTTGTTGATTAGTAGTTACATTGATCTCATTATCTACAATAGAATTCTCGAAGAGGACCTAAGGATCATGATACAAGGAGTTCTACTAAGTTTTTCTATTTGTATTAACAGATTCTAGTTTCTCATTTTTTCCCTGTAGGCACTCCATGGACTGAAGAGGAACATAGGATGTTTTTACTCGGACTGCAGAAGCTTGGCAAAGGTGACTGGCGTGGGATTGCTCGCAATTACGTCATATCAAGAACACCTACTCAAGTAGCTAGCCATGCTCAGAAATATTTCATTAGGCAGACTAATGTATCGAGGAGAAAACGGCGTTCCAGCCTGTTTGATATTGTAGCAGATGATGTAAGTATCTTTTCCGTCCTTGCATAACCAGTATGCACATTTTTTTACATACAGGCACGCAACATGAAAATTTCACCACATTGAGTTTCTTTGCATCCTACGGTACACTGTATGATGTGCTCTCAAGTTTGTGTTGGCTATTTAATCTTGTTGGTTAAAAATTCATGTCCTCTGCATGTGTAAAAATTTAACATACCGGTCCTTCTTTCTCTCATTTTCTTTCATTTTATAACTTTCACTTCTGTCTTGAACCTCTTGGTCTTGAATGCAGTATTTGTCTGGTGATAAACTAGGGCCATATTTAATCTTGACTGCATGATTCCTACTTGAGATTTCTAATTAGGTTCTGTTTTTATCTTTCTTGACTTATGTATGGTTTATTGATAATTTTTCTACAGTCAGTTGAGGCTCCAATGGAACCACTAGACTTCTTACCTGGCAACCATCTACAAGCTGAAAGTCAAAGCAACAACCCATTGCCTGCTCCTCCAGCTTTGGATGAAGAATGTGAATCAATGGATTCTACCAACTCAGATGGAGAACCTGCCCCTCCACAGCCTGATAGCTCACAGTCATTTTACCCAATGATATATCCTGCATATTTCTCACCTTTCCCAGTTCCTTTTCCATTGTGGCCTGGATACAGTACCGAGCCCACTAAGCAGGATAAACATGAGGTTCTCAAGCCAACGGCAGTACATTCAAAGAGCCCGATTAATGTTGATGAGCTAGTAGGCATGTCAAAACTGAGCTTAGGAGAGCCTATAGGTCATTCCGGCCCCTCCTCGCTTACACTAAAGCTAGTTGAAGGGTCTTCTAGGCAGTCGGCTTTCCATGCAAATCCAGGCTCTGGAAGTTCTGGCATGAATTCAGGTGGTAGTCCCATCCATGCAGTTTAGTGGTTAGACATGCCTTGGAATTTTACAGGTTAATGTTAATACAAGGCTAGAAATGTGCATTCTGGTTTGGGTTTGAGTTGCATCTCATTATGGAATAACCTTAATAATGTTTTTTTAATAGTAGTTATAATCTATAATTTGGTCTTAGGTTTTAGGCTGTACCATCTCTTGCCCAAATTATTTAAATCTTTGACATCTTGTGTTGGCGTCTAGAATTGTTTGGTTTTTGTCCTCCCAGCGTCGATCATGTAGACATTCTAAAGTCGGGCAACCGCCGTACTTGTAGAATAGCTATTCACCGTAATATGAATAAATTTGAATTTCTGCATTTTCAGAAAGGTACAAGATTGTTTTTGGGGTTGCATTGCATTGAAATGAAGGCCTCCTTTGTTCATTTTTATTTTTATTTCCTTCTTTCCATTTTTCAGAAAAGAAAATTGGTAACTCAGAAGGTTATTACTACTATCCCGGACATAAAACCATTGATTCTACTACTAGACCTACAAAACAGGAAATCACTTCAATTATTATACATCTTACTTTGATCTGATTACTTCTAATCAAATGTACTAATCAATGTATTTCATTTTGTTAACGGGTTGTCGGGTCCTGATTACGGTGGTAATTTTTTTTTTTTAATGACAGGATAACACGACTCAGCCAGACACGAATGTAGCGGATTTAAGTTGACCGGTATTAGAAACGAACGAGCTGTGTTAGTGTAGGTTTTGTTTGGGGTTTTTAGTCCCCAGTGTCATCAAAAAATTACCACCCCTAATTTGGATTATAATTTTTAATCATAAAAAAGATTACATCCGATTCACCACAACCCAGACAACCCGACCCAAAACACAATTAGAGATTACAATTCAACCCAGATGGGCCAAAGCCGCCAGATCCATTTCCTCCTACCGGAAGTCCCAAAACTTCAAATCTCCGGATTCATAGTAGCAGTAGCGAAGACACAGAGAGGCATCCATGAACCTCCTCACCAGAAACAGACCCACGGCGAGACCATGGCCCACCAGAAAACAGCCTTCATACAGGTCCCCACTCATCTACCTCACTCTCCTCTTTTCCCTTCTCTTCTTCTTCTCCTACATCTTTTCTCTCACTCCCAACTCTCTCCTCTCTAACAAGACCTCAATTTCCGATTCCCCAAAATGCCCCTCCCTTGGAGGAGAAAAGTTCCTCTGGTACGCTCCCCACAGTGGCTTCAGCAACCAGCTTTCCGAGTTCAAGAACGCCGTTTTGATGGCCGCCATTTTGAACCGGACCTTGGTTGCCCCTCCGGTTCTCGATCACCATGCTGTTGCTCTCGGTAGTTGCCCCAAGTTTCGGGTTTTGAGTGCCAATGAGATCCGAATTTCGGTCTGGGATCATATCGTTGAGCTCATTCGGAGTGGGAGGTATATCGGTTTCCTCCGTTTCTCGTTTTGTTGGTCTATTTGGGGTAAAGGTGTTGAATTTTGGTGGAATTGGAATGTGGGTTGGATTGGTTTGTTTTAGTTTTCATGTTAATGGCCCCAACTTGTTTTTGCTTGACCCATTGTTCGGTTTGTAAAATGATGCTGGGAAGGTGTTGGATTTTTCTTTTTTGGTAGGATTGGCATGTTGGTTTATTGGGTTTGTTTTGATTTCCATGTTAATGGTACCAAATGTGTCTTATCAAACTCACTTGATGTACACTTGTGATATTTATTTATTGTATTTTTTATATTCACAATACAACTATCTTTCTCTCTTGTTGCAGGTATGTTTCCATGGCTGACATTGTTGATATATCATCATTAGTTTCTTCTTCTTTAGTTCGAGTCATAGATTTCAGGGTTTTTATATCCTTATGGTGCAATGTGAACGTAGATTTTGCTTGCTACAATGAGTTGGATAAGCATGCCTCTTTGCTTGAAAGACTTAAGCAATGTGGATCTCTACTATCTGGGCTCAATGGTGATGTAAAGTGTTTATATGCTGTTAATGAAGACTGCAGAACTACTGTTTGGACATACCAAAGTGGTAATGAGGATGGGGCATTGGATTCTTTCCAACCTGATGAACAACTCAAGAAGAAAAAGAAAATTTCATATGTTAGGAAACGCCGAGATGTATATAATACTCTTGGACCGGGTTCTGAAGCTGAATCAGCTACTGTACTGGCATTTGGGAGCCTTTTCACTCTTCCTTACAAAGGTTCGGAGCTATACATTGATATTCATGATGCTCCAAGAGATCAAGGGATAAAAACTCTGATTGAGAAGATTGAGTTTCTTCCATTTGCCCCTGAAATTCTGAGCGCAGGGAAGAAGTTTGCTTATGGTACCATAAAGGCTCCTTTTCTTTGTGCACAGCTCAGATTGCTAGATGGGCAGTTCAAGAACCATTGGAAGGCTACTTTTCTGAAGTTCAAACAAACAGTGGATGCTTTGATGCAAGGCCCTCTTCCTATTCATATTTTCGTGATGACCGATCTTCCTAAAAATAATTGGACAGGAAGTTACTTGGGGGAATTGGTTAGAGATTCACGTCAGTTTAAACTGTTTTTCCTGAAAGAAAGAGATGAGTTGATAATACAAACTGCTAAAAGAATCGTGGATGCAGGTCATGGCTTGAAGTTTGGGACTGTTCCAAAGAAACATGATGGCACCGGTCAGATTGAGAAGGATTGTCCTCCAGGACTACCTGATGTTCTTCTATACATAGAGCAAACTGTTTGCAGTTGTGCTTCCCTTGGATTTGTTGGGACAGCAGGGTCAACTATTGCAGACATTATAGAGTCGATGAGGAAGTTTGGTGCATGTTCTAGCTAGTTTTCTGATTACATGGTCAAATGCCTAATGACATAAGAAATTCTAATTCACTGAAGCTGTACAAATTATGATTCAGAAGCATGCCTGAGCTATGCAAGCTTGAAGTTGTGAGCCTGCTTCATGGCTCGTAACTTAATGGCACCAGCGGGTGTAGGCAGCAGAGGAAGTGCTTCGTGAAGAACGGAGTTGAATTCGAAAAAGGTTGCAGTCTTATGAAGAAATGCATATCTCATGCTCTAACAAGAAAAGGTGTGGTTTGGTTTCTCATCAAAATTCTTATATTGCCACTGATTATAGACACTGTTTAGTGTACAATTTTTCTGGAACATCATTGTAAATTAATTCCAAAGTGCCAATTTCTCACCTCGTCTGGAACAATGGTTCTTGTTTCAATTTTTTTTTTTTTTTTTTTTTTTTTTGGGGTTTACACTTAATTTTTTTTTTTTTTTTTTTTTTTTTTTTTTTTTTTTTTTTTTTTTTTTTTTTTTTTTTTTTTTTTTTTTTTTTTTTTGGGGTTTACACTTAATGCTTGGTAATTAAGGGTTAAAAGCTTCCTGGAAGCTTAAGCCTTCAATGGGCTCATGTGGCCAAGTGGCTTTTCTTAGAATCTTATTAGTAGTTTCCATTGTGGTGGCTGCCAGCCATTGAGGTCTAATCCTGTGGAGAAGGGACTTGACTTGCTGACTAGCAGTCTCAGGTTCAAATTGCTATAGCATCTTGGCAATATGTGTAAGAAAATTAGTGGTCGCTGCTATGCTAAACAAGATTATCTGATTCCTTATTAAAATGCTAAAAAACAGTCAACACCTAACCATACTAATCAATTTTGAAGGCTCCATCAAGAACAACTAAGCTGCGGTTAGCTTTGCGATTAGAGATGAGAATGCTGGAGTTCTTCTGGCTGGGGCGAAGAAGATTGGTGATGTCTCGATTACAGTGTATGGACATTAGAGATGGTTTGGCCTATGTTGCTCCTAAGGGTTGGCGTAAGATCATGGTTGAGGGGGACTTCAAACTTGTGATTGACTCAGTTTTGAAGCGTTGCTCTGCTCCTTGGTGTATCGCCTCAGCTCGTTCAAGACATCTTGCTTCTCACGTATGGTCATATTTTTAGAGAAGTTAACTCAGTTGCTGACGCTTTAGCTTTGCTTGGGCATACCCTTTCACCTTTGAAATTATGGGAGTGTAGCCTCCCTTATCCGGTTGTAACCTCTTTCTATTTGGAACTTTTTGGGACAGTCTCGTCTTTACTAGTTGTTTTGCTTCGTATAAAAAGAAGAAGAAGAAGCTAGTGAGCGGCATTAAGGTGATCTTAACACCCCAACCCCAACGGTGCTTCCCTTCCAATTACGTCATCTTTGGCCTATTCGGCCGGTGCACTTCTAAAAAAACTTTGTTCGAGTCATATTTTGCTTCCTCGCTTGTGTCAGCAAAACAGATACCGACCAAAAGTGAAAATAACAAAAAGAAGCAAACCGGGTCACGGAACAAGGTCCAACCTTGAGTTCCAAGTTACAAAGATTTACGCCATCACAATCAGCCGGGAATAATTAAGTATCGAGTTCATCATAAATAATATATCTCGCATTCAAGTGGAGACAACTACAATTAAATGAAAAGCATCAACGACCGTCATGCATATCGATTCAAGAAATTTAAACTTAATGCCACTACAATTAAATAGTTATTGATACAACAGTCCAAGTTTAAATTGCCAACACGCAACTTGCTAGCAAATTCTTACGTCGTGTTTGACTGAGAGAGAACTTTTCCACCCTTCAAAGTTTCATATGTGAACGTTTACGTACTGACGACCAGGACAAGATTAAAACTGAAAAAGGGCACATTTGGTCAATTTTATTATTATTTGGTAAATTCAAAAGAAAAACTTTCTGCATTTCTCAGTCATAACCATATGCATTTTGTCTTCTGTATTTAAAATAAGATGTCGTAACTTTTGTTTTATATTTTTCTGTTGAGGAAATAACAAGTCGTACTAGTGACCTTAAACATATCTCACGATTTTGATAAACAAAACAATTGTTTTAATTTGAGAAGATTCAACACAAGGCCATAGAGTATGTTGTCAAAGCATTTCATCAGCATAATAATAATTTGGACCAAATTTCAGTCAATTCCTTAGATTTGATTGAGAAGTTTGGCAAGCTTTTCACACCTATAACCAGTGGCGGATCCAGGATTTGAAATCAAATTGGGCGAAACTCACATTAAAAACTCGAGGTTATGAGTGAATCTCATTAATAAACATAAAAATATACACCTAGTATGAGGGCATAATGAGCTTTACCCTCAAATGCATCTCTATACGAGCATTGCCACCAGAGGACTCAAGGGGGGGTTGGGGGGGGTAAACCCAAAAACATGTTTCCAGCAACAATAATCTGCCAGGGCAAACAGTGGAGCCCACGAACCTGGGCAAGCCCGAGGGGAAGGCTGGCCCGAGCTCCAGCCCGCGGGCTGAGCAGACATCAGCGCAGCTGTTTAAATTTTTTTAACGCTGGCGCGTGCAATACACGCGCCCTGTTTAAAAAAAATTTGACGCGCGCTACAGTGCCCCGCCCAACGGTAGGATTACACGTGTCGCTCGCTGGGCCATCCGATATGCTTTTTAAACTTATTCAACGGCAGCCATTTTTTCGCGAATAAAAAAATTGAAACAGTAACCCCCAACGGCTCTATGACACGTGGAAGCTCCTGGGCGCTCCGATTGGTTTTTTCCAGCAATCCAACGGCAGGCAATTTTTTGGCAAAAAAAGAAAAGAAAAAAAATCTGAAAAAATTTAAAAAATACTGAATTTTTTTTCTATAAATACCAACTAATACTCTTCACTTTTAACACCAAATCCTCGTGCATTTTCTTCTCCTTCAACTATTAATTCACTTTCTACTCAATATTTTTTTCACTTTCAAATTTTATTTTCCGAAATCTAATCCGAAAATATTATCCAAATTAATTGTTTAGGTATAAAAAAAAAAAAAAAAAGTAA